TGTCTGGGCCCTTTGGTGATAGTTTCTGCTGTGCTAGGGAATAGGTTTAAAGATATCTGGTAAGTCAGACAACAAGGTCCCACTGTATAGCACAGGGAACTATAGTCAATATCCTGAGATAAGCCATAATGGAAAAGAATATGAAGAAGAATGTACATATATATATGTATAACGGAGTCACTTTGCTGTACAGCAGAAATTAACACAACATTGTAAATCAACTAGACTTCAATTAAAAAAGATATCTAGGAAGTGGAAAAAAATCACCCCATAATATTTAGTTTGATTCCATCTCTTTTTTTTTTTTTGCGGTACGCGGGCCCCTCACCGCTGTGGCCTCTCCCACTGCGGAGCACAGGCTCCGGACGCGCAGGCTCAGCGGCCATGGCTCACGGGCCCAGCTGCTCTACGGCATGTGGGATCCTCCCGGACGGGGGCACGAACCCGTGTCCCCTGCATCGGGAGGCGGACTCCCAACCACTGCGCCACCAGGGAAGCCCCTCCATTTTTGTTTTTAAAAACTAAGTGCAGGGAGACAGACAGATTGGGAAAGAGACAGAGAGAAGGAGAAAGAGAGAGAGAGAGAGAGGTCGGGATTTGAGGAAATACATAGCAAAGGCAGGTTACTATTAATGAGAATAATAAGGAAGAGCAGTGGGGTTGGGAGAGGGAACAGAAGGACCCTTGACAATTTACTCTGAATTCTCGCGCATTTTTAAACTGGTCTTAACAATGAGTTCTACTGATGTACGCTTTTTGTAAGTTTTTACAGCAATTTTAAAAAAGATACTTACACATATTCTTGGCTGCCACTAGGTGGTACCGGCGGCAGGACAGACTGGACGACCTTGAAGCTTCTTGGGCTCCTCCATGACACCTGAATGTGGGTCTAACTTCCTAACTTCAAAGAGTGAAACAAATTAATGCACCAAGTATTAGAGCTCAGGGCTCCAAGCCCCAGACTTCCCTCTTATTCCTCTTTAGATGTGAGAAGAGGATTTTCTATTTAATTGGTATAAAAATATTTTCAAGTAAAAAAAAGTTCTTTCCATATCAATCTAAGTTGTACAGTTTGGTTCACATATATTCAATCATCTCAAGATCTCCACCTTACAATGATATTCCCAAGTCAAATCTTAATCAGATCCATGAAAATAATCGAACTCTTCTCTGTGATGCAACCTCATCACCCGAGGTTCCCTAATTCCAGGACCAGGCCTTTCTTTCCATCCACTTACCCTTAATTCTCTTGGGCAGTCACATCTTCCATCACCTCAGTTGATGTGGGCAGAAGACAGAAATGTTACACGTATCTTCTTTCTCCATCCCACGATAATGCAGCACTTGTGATTTCAACAGGGCTCTTCAGCAGGGCTTATCTCCTCTCCTATCCTGGACTGGTCTAAACTAGCTAATGTTTTGTTCTTTCTTCTAAAGCAATATTTCATTCCAAAATCACGTGCCTAAGATTCCCAATCCCCAAGATAGCATAGCCTAGCAGGAAGCAGTGAAAATACGTGCTCTCTTCAGGACACCAATGTGGCCAGCCTGGCACACAGAAGCTACTCAGTCCCCATGGGTGGAATGCCAAGAGGTGTCTGCAGTGGCTCTCGCTTGGCTAAGGCATGCTTCTCATCGTAATCCCCACTGCACCTGGCATGATTTTTCACCTTTTTATCCCCAACTCCCACCCCATCCTTCCCGCAGGGGCATTGTGCTGAGTTGGTCTCTGGATAAAACCCAAGAAGGGCACCAAGGTTACAGAGCTGTACTTGACACTCCCTGTGTGGCCAGTTGAGCCACAGATAAACACCAGAGGGGAGAGTCAGGAACATTCCATGCAAAGGACACTAGATATTAAATGAATATTAGCCACTATCCATCATTAATAATAGTAAAGACTACTGTTCATTCGAGTTCTTGCTATTTGCCAAACCCTGTGCTAAGTATTTCATACATTTCATCTTATTTGATTTCCTCAACCACCCTGTGGTTGAGCATTATTGTTCCATTTTACAGATATGGGAACAGAGACTTGGAAACTTTCAAGTGACAGGCTCAGGTTTATCTATTTTCAAAGCTTGTCTTCTTAATCCTTATCCTGTTCTGAAGCTAGTGAAGGGCTCTGATTGTTCAGAGATCTGTTTACACCCCATTTGAGAGACTACTGAGAAGCCCAAGTCTTCCTCCTCCCAACCCTGTAGTTTATTATCCTCTCCAAGGGGAGAGAAAATGTCAAGGCGAGAAAGTGAATGCAAACATCCACATGCTTTGTACTAATATTTAGACTTCATCATACACTTTTTTTTTTTTTTTTTGCGGTACACGGGCCTGTCACTGTTGTGGCCTGTCCCGTTGTGGAGCACAGGCTCCGGATGCGCAGGCTCAGCGGCCATGGCTCACGGGCCCAGCTGCTCCACGGCATGTGGGATCTTCCCGGACCGGGGCACGAACCCGTGTCCCCTGCATCGGCAGGCGGACTCTCAACCACTGCGCCACCAGGGAAGCCCCGTCATACACTTTTTAAAGGTAAGAACTATGCTTTTCCGTTACTTCTTGTCTCCCCTCAGCACCTCCCAATATGCTCCACCCACAACAGTTTTTTAATACTGTATTGCCTCAGTGACTGGCTGGCCTCTTGTTCACATCTGGGGTCAAGAAGGTTAGTGATAGGATATAACCCAAGGTTTGTGATTTTCTGTGGCTCAAGATTATTTTTCCCATCTGTTTTCCCTTACCATGAATGCTTGAAAAGGAAATGTCATTTGGTTTCCAAATTGAAATATTTCATCTAATCAGATGAGTCTAATTTCATTATTTTAAGAAAACCTTTTCAAGTGTGGTTGGTTGAAAGGAGTAAACAAGAATAAATCTACCACTACCTTCTCTTTCCTAGGAACTTGGAGCTGGAGCTTGTTTTCATGATATAATTAGGCAGGGACTTCTGTGACTTAATTTAAAAGCCTGAAGTATAATCACCTTTCTTTCTTTTTTTTCTTTTTTTTTTTTTTTTTTTGTTTCAAAACAGTTTTCTTCTCTGCTACCCCCGGGTGAAACTGGCTCTGCTTTTCCAAATTCAGTGATGCCAGGTCAGCAGGGAGCAAATTTGAGACTGTACAATTCCCATCAGCTATTAGCTGGGGACATCTTTCTGTCCCTAAGGTCTAAGTTAGTTCTAAAGGACAGGTTTTCTTTTCAACAAATATGGTTATCCCTATTAATGGTAATGGGTGTTTCACGTGAATGGGCAGAAGACTCCGTATTCCTAAGTTTTTCCCAAGCCTGAGTTACGTGAGGCCAAATTAAACACAGTTTGAATCTTTGGCTCCGTCCTCCTTTGTGTTCAGATAAACGTTGATACTCGAATAAGATTCTAAGTAATGAAATGCCAATACATGTGGCTTCTGCATCTGTCATCTAAAGGATGTGCCTTTAAAAATGGATTCCTTTCTTCTCTGTTTAATTCTTGGCCTGGTAAACCACTATAACCCTGCGAGGGAGGCAAGGAGACATTTCTGAACAGTTTTTTTCTGCTCCAACATCAAAAAGCTTGTGCCAGTGAGTGAGATATACCCAGTACTGCATTAACATCCTATTCTGAAATGCTTGTACCCTAGGCTACCTCCATTGATTTGATCAGTATCAGATACTCTGACGTCATGAAGTGAAAAAGAGGCATGAAAAAAAAAGCGACTGAAATATGAATAACAAACTGTTCAAGAGGAGACAGCCAGTTCTAGAGGACTGGCTCCACTCACTTAGAGGTGTGTTACCAACGCCAAGTAAGACGAAATAAGAGGCAGCCTTGTTTGTGTAGTAGTTAATAGGCCCCAGAGGGGAAAGGGACAGCTCAATGAAACAATCTTGCCTAATTTTTTCTTAGGTTCTTTACTCTATTTCATGTAACTCATGATTTAGAAAGGTCTCTAAAATATGACGGTTGTAAGAACATCAATTGGCCAAGGCTCCTGAAATGTATGTTAACAGCTTTGATCTCGTTGTCTATGAAGATATCTATCGAAGCAATTTCACATGTATTTAAACTCAGTAACTTCTACAAAGGAAGGCCTTTACTGGCATTTATAAACTCTTCACCGGAAAAAAAGTGGGAAATAATATGATTAATAGTGAGCTGAAGACTTTCATTTCTTCTGAAATTATTTTTAAGGATATAAACAACTCACCCCCTTCTTTGCTGGTATTAACCTACAAAACACAAAAAGTCAAATTGTGGTTATTTTTTCATGACGGTTGACCTCAATTCCTGGCTCAGGAAAAAGCAGTTCAACTGGTTTTGTCTTGTTTGAGAAACTAAAATTAAAATCTCAGGCGTTATTTATTTTAATCCACAAACAGGAAGGAAAGCGGTCTGTGAGAAAAAGTCATAAAGACAATTTCCCAAATGTGTGGATCTTTTTAACTTAGTACCAGTCTAAAAAAAAAAAAAAGGTGCTTTTTAAAAATATTTTTAATGTGGGTTTTTTATGGCTCTCTCTAGTTGCAACTGGACACTTTAGGTTTTATTCTCATCTTTCAGCTACTGGCATGTCATAATCTACTCTAGGGAATGACTGCCTAAATTACTATATCCATAAATATTCTAGTGGAAAACATTTGCAAGGCTTATTTTCAGAAGTATGCTGCAGTACCTCGACGCTGAATCCTAGCTCATAAGAACAAATTCAATAAATGAGGAGAAAAAAAAAAAAGACCAAATTCAATTCTATTTTTCTGTATTATAGTCAACAATTTCCAGGTGTTACTTTGAACACGGCAACTCCAAAAGTATAACAGAAAAGAGTTATATGGATGCTACATAAACCAATATTGCAGTTTATTATGGAAAAAAACCTACCCAGTGATGGTGATTTCCATCTTTCATACTACCCAATACTGATGATCAAGGACCCTCTGTTATTTACTCTTGGCTAGGATCAGTGATTTTTTGGAAGACAAAATTTGGACAATGTATGTTTTTCTGACTCTTGACACATTCAATCTCTTTCTGTTTTTTAAAAGTCATACATCAGACTCCTGTTGTCAAAGTTTTATCTTTTGAAGAAGAAATCACACGAGGTGTTTATCAAAGCTAACTGAGTTGAAGTCATAATGGCTAATTCTGGCTCATTCTTCTAATCACAACTTACTTGGTTAAACCAGTAAATGTGCTTTATTAACTGAATATTTGAATAAGTAGCTGTGTATACACTGTGTTATCAATTATAAAACTTTCTATACTAGTCACTGGTCGATCTATAACTGGGAGGGGTATCTGTGTTTCAACCAGTAAGTCTTTACTGAGTGCCCTTTAAACACTCAGAAGAGGAGATTGTAAAATAATCTGTGGGTTACCTTACAAGTTACAATGTTGAGACAAATATCTAAAAGTAAAACCACAATAAACATGTAAATCACTTATCTGCTTAGGGAGAAAATCTTTTATTTTCTTTGTTGCTTTTGATTTTTATTGTTTTTATTAAATTCCATTTTTAATCCATTTATAGGAACAATCTGAAATTTACTAAGTAAATTTAGAACTCAAAGTTGGAAGTGTTAGTACTACCGACACATGATTTGTGATTGCAGGTCCTGGAAACAAATAGCTAACATTTTTGAGAGTCTCAGGAGGACACATAAACCACTTTCCCTCAACTATATCAATCTGAAGAGAAGCAGAAATGTTTTTATACGTAAGGAACGAGTCTCTTCTTAACTTGGAAACACACAGGGCTCTGATTCCAACCTTCTCTGATTCCCTTTTCTGGCTGGGCAACTTCTTCCACATATCCCCAGGGTAAGTCGCTTGGCCTCATGGAATCTTTGCTTCCCTGCCTGTTAAAAGGGGAGGAGGGGTAATAAAGCTGTTACCACAGGGTGTTGGTAAAAATTAATTAATATTTATAACGTGCTCCATTAATGTCCTCAGGTAATTCATAACTCAGAATTATATGGCACTTGATCACTGCTTAAAGTTTTTCAAACTGTCCTTGGTTTTTCGATTCAGGCAAAAAATATAACAAATCCTTATACTTCAAACAGTAGGGTTAAGCGTAGGAACACTTGTCTTTCCTAGGAACAATTATTTTCCTGAGGTGAAAATATTAGCATGTTACAAAAGCTTATTTCCTCAGCTTTAGACTATGAATAGAGTAGCTTTCATTTATAGCTGATAAAAGCCAAAGGAAGAAGGTTTTTTTTTCTTTATAAAACCCATTTTAATAGCTTATTCTGCCATCTTTGGGGATGTTTTCAACTACTTACTATTGAAAGGGAATTGGTTCGTCTATTTTACAGTGATTTAAGTCTAGCATTTAAAGGACATCCAAGGGGTCGTTTGGTTGATGTCTCCTGCCTGCAGTAATGGTATTGAGCACTTACTCTGCAAAGCCACATTCTCGTATTAGAGATGAGGAAACCGAGGCTCGGTGAGCTAAATAACAGAGCAGAGATTGAAACCCGCACAACTGGACAGTCCATGCTCTTTTCACCACCTGAAACAGCCACTTCTAAGAAGTTATACCAAAAGTTCCCCTGCTCTGTACAGACATGCGTTTCTTCTCTGTCCCCATCTTCTCTCTGAACTTAAAAATTAAACTAAGATATTCTAACAGAACTTCAATCCCATCCCCAGAGAGCCCAAGAGCACCTCCAAATCATGTGGTAAAACTTACTTTGAAGGATAGACAGTTTATCACTTTAAAAAAGACACTTTGGGGCTTCCCTGGTGGCGCAGTGGTTGAGAGTCCACCTGCCGATGCAGCGGACACGGGTTCGTGCCCCGGTCCGGGAGGATCCCACATGCCGTAGAGCGGCTGGGCCCGTGAGCCATGGCCGCTGAGCCTGCGCGTCCGGAGCCTGTGCTCCGCAACGGGAGAGGCCACAACAGTGAGAGGCCCACGTACCACCAAAATAAATTTTTTTAATAAAAAAGACACTTTATAAATTTTTATTGAAGGAAAAATAAAAGCTACCTAAATCCTTTCTTGAGAATTGACTTAGCCCACTCAGTCTTAGTAATTTCTTTTATCGAATCAAAATGCATGTTATATTATCAGTCTTTAAACTTTGTATTGAAGCATAATACACATATAGAAATAAAGTATACTTAATTTTTGAAATGTCTAAAATCCATCCCATCTTCACCTTGTGAAGACAAGATGCCATTTCACATCTCAGAAAAATGTATATAAGGAATAATGAGCTCTAATGATGTATAAATTAGCTCATATACCTAAGAGTGCTTTGAAAGGTTAAGCTCATTATTTATATTAAGGCATTGTTGGTAAAGCATTATTATAATTGCGATTATCACTTACATGATAATATATTTTCTTATGTCTTTGGACAGCAGGCAAGACAAGATAAAGATAATTAAACAGTTGTAGGCACACTATCACTATCTTTAAACAGTGATTAACAACCTATACAATGTATAAATACGCACAAAATTTACCTCCACATAAATGGAATAAATCATCTTCGTTGCCTATTATTGGAATGATATGGCCTTAAAGTGCAGAAGTACCTAAGAATTTGAATAGCAATTGAGAGAAGTCAGTCTTAAGTAGATATTCATCTTTGTCCTTTCCTTTTGACTCATATTCCTGTTTAATATTCACTCACAATTAAATGGGTGGAGAGCCTTTATCAAACTCACATCACTGTTGTAGGCTGGTAAATATCAGACCCCCAATTATGGAGACTCAGTGATGCTCCTGGACTGGGAACACATATTTATTGAAATATTACCCATGAGCAGAGGTCTTTTATTGTAGTTGGTTGCACTCCTCTTTTCTCTAGACAATGAATCAACTCAACCCTACCTTTAACTTAGGTAGAAGGACAATAGGCCACCAAATATCCTGCCCTATGCCAAGACTCAAATTAAATGAAAACAAAGTAGCCATTCCCCATATACTACCTTGAAAGATTGGCTTGGACTTAATCCCTATTCTCAGTGTCTATTGTGGCAGGTACAACATCTAAGCGGCCCTCTGGGTACCATGTCTCAGCTGTGCAGCTCCCTTCTGGTCATGGGGCTCTGGCACCATTAGCAGAAAACACCCCGAGGAGATCCTCTGAGGGCCTGAATTCATCTTTTGTCTGCCTGGTGAAAAACATAATTCTTCTCCAACAATTCCCTTAGGGTTTTCCCCAGGGAGTAACATATAACACTAAACCAACTCAATTTGAAGGACAAGTTAGCTAGATGAGAAAAAAAACAATGTTCCATAAACTTACTGACTGAAACCTCAGTAGTTTGAATTTAACCTGCTATTAGAAGTTGATTAATTATACTCATAACACTAAATCCTGGCTGTAAGATTTCAGGGAAAAAAATCATATTTTTAAAGAGTATTAAATATAAATGCAGGTATTTAAAAGATCATAAAAACTTTTTTATTTAAGAGCTTTGTTGAGAGTAACTTATTTATGAAATTTATAGTCCAATATAATGACTTATTTAAATCATTTGATATTCTAACTTCTCTTTAGAGTTGAAATTTTTACACTGTTTCAGTTCCCTCCCAAATTTATTTATATAGAAATAAGTTTGGGACTTCCCTGGTGGTGCAGTGGTTAAGAATCCGCCTGCCAACTCAGGGGACACGGGTTCGAGCCCTGGTCTGGGAAGATCCCACATGCCGCGGAGCAACTAAGCCTGCGAGCCACAACTACTGAGCGCACGCACCACAACTACTGAAGTCCGCGCGCCTAAAGCCCGTGCTCTGCAACAAGAGAGAAACCACCGCAAGGAGAAGCCCGCGCACCGCAACAAAGCAACAAAGAATAGCCCCCGCTCACAGCAATGAGAGAAAGCCCGCGCGCAGCAACGAAGACCCAATGCAGCCAAAAATAAATAAATAAAAGAAAAAGAAATAGGTTTAAAGGTCTTCATTTTGTAAACATTATATGGTCGCAGAATTTAAAAAATAAAACAAATAACCAATTTAAAAAAGAAGTTACGGGGTGAGGGTTGGAGAGGAATTAGAATTAATCCATTGGTCATATAATACGTCCTCCTGCTAAATCAGACAGAGGAATTCCGGGTCAGTGGATAAAAGCTATTCCAATTTCCCTTATAAATGCTTGCTATCACTTTAACAAATCCCGTGGTGGGAAAGTGCTTTCAAGTATCCAAAATCAATGATCAAGAATGAGGGGTCATTATCTGCATAGAAACACTGTATTTTTGGTACAATTAACTCAAAAATGAAATTCATAAAGAAACTAAAAATAAGTAAACAGAAAGTCTTTATGAATCTATTTCAGAGACAAGTCTTTTGACTAATTCAGAAAGTATTGGCCTTCCCTCCCCTTCCAACACTCACTTGATTTCCTTAACTCATCTAGTTACATAACTGATTCTAAGACTTGTAAACAAACAGCCCCATTGCTTGACAATTCTGGATCTGTGGGTTTGTACTGCTGTTTCCCTGTGGAGGTTGAGAGCTGTGTAATGATTTATTCTTTCCCCGCCCCTGCCTTCTTTTCCTATTTTGCTCCTTTTTTTTTTTTCTTTTCTTTTTTGTCAAAGTAGGTTAAAAAAAAAAATCCAGGGGAACTAAGTAAGTGTGAAAACAAACCCTGGTGCTACAGGATTGAGGCCACCAATTTAAACACCCTAGGTGCAAGGAATGCAAAATGTGAGGGTCTCATACTCAGATGAGCTCCCCAGAAGGAGACTACTAATATGTAGTAATTTTCAGCATCCCCTGGACTCCAAATCATATGTTTTTGTATAAGGCAGCTTTAATTCCCCTGATTTCCCACGCATGAAGCTCTTACAGCTTCAAAGAGAGCTCTGCATGCAAAAGGTACATGGGGGTGTAGTTCAGGAGGAGAATGGGGCTAGTAGGCAGAACGTGGGTGAATTAACATTCAGGTCTATGCTTTAATTCCAGTGCTACCTTCCAGTGGTGTACCCCAGTTATAACACTGACTGCTGGCAAATTAGAAGTTTTCTATTTCGGTAATTAGACCTAATCAATTACCTGGAATTAAAACACACCTAATTCCACCATAGAGAAGTTAGATTCCAGATTGGTTCTTAGGTTGTGGATTCGATTTATGTTTGATAGCATCGGTTAAGAACAATTTATAATATGGCGTGTGTGCCATGCACACACTGTGTCACTGATGGAATCTTCAGGAAACATTTTCATTGCGTAATAATTTAATACAGATAAAATAAATACAGAATAAATTAAGTATTTTGAGTTTTTAAAAATCTAGAAATTTATGCAGGCTTAAGTGAAGGAAGACAACAGAGCCTTTAAATACCTTAAGTGATTACATGAAATTTTAACTAATTCTCCTTTTGTGTGTGTGCTTTTCTTAGGAGACCTTTATTTATAAAGATTTTCAAACTGTTTTCTCTCCCATTTATCACCTACTCTTTTAGTGGTACGGGCATTCTAAATTATTTCTACGCCAAAGATTCTCTTGGAACATTAGAGTCTAATCTACTAGTAGACTTCCTTCTTTAAAAAAGCTCCAGGGGACTTCCCTGGTGGTGCAGTGGTTAAGAATCCGCCTGCCAGTTCAGGGGGCCCAGCTTCGATCCCTAGTCATGGAACTAGATCCCACACGCCACAGCTAAGAATTGGTGCAGCCAAATAAATAAATATTTTTTAAAAAAATTATTTTATCATGGGAACTTTTTTCTATCAGTATGTTCCCTAGCTTTAGTTTTTAAATTTATTTTCAGGTGTATATCCTGAATAAGAATGCCTGATTCTCTCTGACTTTGATCCATGTGATCCTGGTTGAAATGAAAGTGGCAGGTCCCAGTTTTGCAGCCACTAAAATGAGATTCTGAAGTGAAATAGTTACTGAGCCCAGGAAATAAAGAGGATCCTCTTTGTTCTCTCAGAGGCTGCAGTTGGAGTTTGCTGGGTTTTGTTCTGGCAGGTTCACAAGGTCTGTTAGAAACAATGGAAGCATAGACCTTTAGAGCTGGAAGGAATGAGGCTTAGTCCTCATTTATTCTAAATCCTTCATGTTAGAGATGTGAAAATGCATCCCAGATAGGGATTGTGATCTCGAGAGGCATGTTTTCTATTTTTATTTTTCTAAAGCCATTTTTAAAATTCCGGTTCATTTCAACAATATTTATACCCTACTAACACACAGGGACCCCCAAATTTGTTGTGATTACTCCATCCACATGGTGGAGGAATTGGAGGGAAGGACTATTTTGCTCCCCTGAAAAAAGCGAGCAAATGCAGAGCAAAACTCTGGACAAAACTTAAGGACCTGGATCTGATTCACCAACCTCCATATTAATAAAATACACTCTCTGATGTACTTTATATAATCACAAACTCCAAACATGAAATATAAAAATAAAACAGTATTATGGAGGACTACATGTTCAAGCAAGGAAACCATAGCTGGGTTTAAAATGAAAAAAAGATAGTTTAAAAATTCACTTTCTTCGTATATCTGCTTCCTGTGTATCTTGGAAACACATTTATTTACTGTATAAACAAAGTTGTGATTTTTTTAAAGTTTACTGTTACATATGATTATCTAATAGGTAGAAACACTAGTTGAGAAGACAGAGGAGAAGATTATATTTCTGCTATTTCTGCATAATACCACATTCCAAATAAGAAAAAAATTCCAAATGAGAAAAAGTTGGTGAGTCTGTGGTCATGAATGTTCCCAAATGTATCCATGATTTGGCTGTTTTTACAAAGTCAGAGAAGTTGGACCATTGTCTTTTCCCTCATCTCAACTTCTGGGCTTGCTATCTGACAGACTAAAGGCTCAAGTCATTGGTAGCTTTAGTATGGCCTTCTGGGATGATTCTTTATGGAGGGAATTGACCTTTGTTTAAATATGCTTCTTAGGCTTAGGGTTGGGGCCCTGGAACCATTGTTACCAGAGCTCTCCAAAGCCTAGTGTGTTACATGAACAAAAGAGTTACAAGACAGAATGACCTTATTTTATTTGATTATTAGTTTTTAACTTTTTTATTGGGGTATAGTTGATTTACAATGTTGTGCTAGTTTCTGCTGTACAGCAAACTGATTCACTTATACATCTACATATATCCACTCTTTTTAGATTCTTTTCCCATATAGGTCATTACAGGTATTGAGTAGAGTTCCCTGTGTTATATAGTAGGTCCTTATTAGTTATCTGTTTTATATAGTGTGTAAATATAAATCCCAATCTCCCAATTTATCCCTCCCCTCCTTTCCCCCTGGTAACCATAACTTTGCTTTCTATATCTGTGACTCTATTTCTGTTTTGTAAATAAGTTCATTTGTACCATTTTTTAGGTTCCACATATAAGTGATATCATATGATATGTTTTTCTCTGTCTGAATAACTTCACTTAGTATGATAATCTCTAGGTCCATCCATGTTGCTGCAAATGGCATTATTTCATTCTTTTTATGGCTGACCATTGTGTGTGTGTGTGTGTGTGTGTGTGTGTGTGTGTGTGTATACATACACTGCATCTTCTTTATCAATTCATTTGTCAACGGACATTTAGGTTACTTCCATGTCTTGGCTATTGTAAACACTCCTGCAATGAACGTTGCGGTGCATGTATCCTTTCAGATTACGGTTTTCTCGGATATATGCCCAGGAGTGGGATTGCTGGATCATATGGTATTTCTATTTTTAGTTTTTTAAGGAACCTCCGTACTGTTCTCCATAGTGGCTGTACCAATTTACATTCACACCAACAGTGTGGGAGGGTTCCCTTTTCTCCACACCCTCTCCAGCATTTAGATCCTATTTTATTTTATTTTTTTGATAAATTTATTTATTTATCTATTTATGGCTGCGTTGGGTCTTTGTTGCTGCGCGTGGGCTTTCTTTAGTTGCGGTGAGCGGGGGCTACTCTTCGTTGCGGTGCACGAGCTTCTCATAGGGGTGGCTTCTCTTGTTGCGAAGCACAGGCTCTAGGGGTGCGGGCTTCAGTAGTTGTGGATAGTGGGCTCAGTAGCTATGGCTCACGAGCTCTAGAGCACAGGCTCCGTAGTTGTGGCGCACGGGCTTAGTTGCTCTGTGGCATGTGGGATCTTCCCGGACCAGGGATCAAACCCGTGTCCCCTGCATTGGCAGGTGGATTCTTAACCACTGTGCCACTAGGGAAGCCTAGTTATTATTTTATTTTAAAAGGAAAATCAAACACATAAAAACGGTGAATGTGTGCATACACACACACACACACACACACACACACACACACACACTCACACAGGCATACACCATGGTTATGCACCAAACAGCAGTATAACATAGTGGTGAAAAGCTTGAGTTTTGGAGTCACACAGACCTGAGTTCTACTTCCAGGCCCAGAACTTAATCTCCACTCTTCTTAGACCCACACAATTATTTTCAGTCAACTAAAAAGATTAAAAATATGGTACGAGTTTCAAAGTGCTTAAGTTTGTATCTTTACAAATTGTTCATACTCATTCCCATGCCCTTCCAGTAACACCTATGATTCTCTATACCCTGCTAACCAGCCAAGCTCAGATCCCTTCTTGCTTCACCAACGCTTGGT